AATTGTTAAAGGGCATGTGCTGTCTGTAGAGTAGGCTGAAGGAATCTGGTAAGGAATCTTAGGTTTTGAAAAGGTACCAAGAAACCAATAGGATGGCTATTGCGGAGCACATTTCAAACCAAGAACAATTCCCTTTCATTCTCAAGACAGCACATATGAGAAACAGACCCACTTATTCCTATGTGTCATCCCACACAGTCACTTCACTATTCACTACAGTTATATTTCATTCTCAGGACAGCATATCTGAGAGACAAACTCACTTTTTTTTTAACAGGGCTTTTATGTGCCCTTGAGGAGGAAGAACAGCAGTAGAAAGAGGAGTATTTCCTGGTGTCTCAGGGCTTGCAGCATCTTTTTACAATGAATGATGAGGAGGACAGAGGCTCACTTCCAGGGCTACGTAATACCTCTGAACCCTGGGAGTTGTATGTGGTTGTAGTAGGATCATTTAGGACCCCATTGTTCTCAGCATCACTGAGTAATCGGGGGCCTTTGCTGCAGAATGGGCGCAATTTTTTTGCAGTGCCTGCACAAGCGCCTCAGGCTCTGGGCCATGAAGGAGAGGAACCATTACTGGTTAGCCACACTTTTTAATCCCTGGTTTTAAAGTAAAATGGCAAAAACCCATCCTGCCATCCCAAGGTGAGCATAAAATGGAAGAGGTGCTATGGAGGAGATACTGCCAATCTCTAGAAAGGTGGCTAACATGTCTCTGATCCCCCTGGTTGCTCAAAGGAGGAGCAGTGGTAGTGGTGGCTGCCTCTCTAATGTTTTAAAGTCTTTCTTTTAATAAACCATTGAAGGGAATTTATCAAAACTTGAGCAGACAAAAACCTGGAGCAGCTGTGCATGGTAACCAATCAGTCTATCGCTTTCATTTTCAAAGCTTAACTGAACACACTGAAAAGAGAAGCTGATTGGTTGCTATGGTCAAGTGCTCCAGATTTTGTCTGCTCCAGTTTTGATAAATTCCCTCCATTCACTCCATCTGTCAAATATACATTTCATGAGCAGGACACCAACAGAACCTCAAGGACACCCAAAATCCTTGTCTTCCGCACTGTTGCATCACAGTTCACCTTGGCATTGTTCGTCAGTAAAAATTGGCAGGTGTCCGGAATGTGGGGTGACAACTATTGGGTTTGCTAAATGTAGTGTGACAGATGGTGGGTTTTCACCACCATGTGTATTACATACTTCTGACCTTTGCACTCTGCAATATTTACTACTAACCACTGCACTCTGTATACTACTGACTTCTGAAATTAGCATTACTTACTACAGACCTCTAACTTTATGATACTACTATACTTTGCGTTACTTTCTCCTGACCCCTGCAGTCTGCATTGCATACTACAGACCCCCTGAACTGTGCACTACCTAGTCCTGACCCTTCAAACCTTCCTTTATTTTAAATGGGACCCTGCTAGGTTATCTCCTTTATAAAAAGCACCCTTCTGATCTTTGATCTCTTCAACGTTGCTCAGGTAGATCACCTAGATTGCCTACCCCTGTTATATGCATATTTGCATAGTTCCAGTGTCTTCGGGTTTTTTTTTTTTTTTATTTGGTTCCTATTTTATACAATATATTTGCCACTAAAATATCAAAACATAGATCAGTGTGAATATAAATAACTCACTGGTTATTCATTTTTTAAAGTCAATGCAAGTACGCTGTGGTTTGTGGAAAAACGTTGAACTGCTTTTTTCTCTATGAATATTGTTTTAATTTTAAAACATCACCAATGTAAAATAGTCCAGACTTCTGCAAATAGCTCATAAACATATTGCGGACGCTTAAGCCAATGGATAATGTGGCAAACCCTAAGCAAGTCCACTATTTGATAGAGTGCCCATAGCTCTATGACATTGTGTAGGTCTACATAGCAGTGTGTGACATCTGGTGCTTGTAACTTTGAGTGATGCCTCGGGTCCTGCTATCAGTACTGGCTGTGCTGCTGTTGCTGACACTTTCCGTAGCTAGTAAAACAATTCTCTCTGACAGGACAGCAGAGCCTAAAAATAATACTGCAGCATTAAACACCCAAAACAGCTTCTGTGCAAATAGTATTTTTTTTCTTAGTAGACTGTCACTGAAGTTATTCTAGTCTCTATGTACAATTAGCTTTTTTATATACAGTATGATGGCAAATTGAAGCAACTCAGAAAAATGTTGATGTTTTATCTGAGTGATACTGCAGCAGATTTACTTAGAACTGAAATTGTTAACACAATAAATTGTGTGAATATTCACTTCAGTTATCCAATCATGTTCAGATGCAATAAGTTAACAAGGATATTATGTTGACACGATTGTTTCATTGAAGTGTGCTATTGTTTGAACATTCTTTTTCTTGAACTTTTTTAGTAACTCAGCCTTAATGTTTAGCCTCCTTGTAAAGGCATACATTGCTTAGAATTATTCATGGCGAGTTAGCTGTGCAGTTGCTTGACATGCATCCTAAATATGTTCCTAAAATGCATCATCCAACCACAGTGCTGGTATTCCTGATGTTTTCACAAATATAAGGTTAATAAGCTTTTCAAAGCAGCATTATCAGACTGGTTTATACCTAAGCACGTTCCAGCTGGGAACTATTAAACTTAACTGGTGACCACTTGACAAAATAGTCTCTGGACAGTGCTTTGCTGGAGCCATGTAGTCAAGGCTGGGTCCACACTGTGTATTGCTGCAATGCATGTTATTGATTGTGTTACTGCAATATGCTAGAACCTCAAGTTATGCATTGGTGTGCTGCAGCGCCATTCATTCTTATGGGCAACACACAGCATAATGCATGTCAGTACGCTGTAACAGTGTAAACTACTAAATCATTTGAAATTCGAGCCAAAGGTGGCCCTGTCCTCAGCACATGGCTGGCCAAAAGTTGATTTAAAAACTGACTGAGCTGGGTGGAAATGTATTGCCTGAACAGTGACTGCATCTTATCAGATGCAGTCCCTGTTTAAGTATTCAGACAGTTGAGGGTGCTGAGGCTGCCTGAATACAATAGATGCATTGGAGAGTCCACCATCCACACTAAACCGGAATCCATTGATTATGAACAAGGGAAATCTAGCTGCACATGGCTACCAACAGCCAGAGAGGTCAAGGATGACTTGTTTTAAAACTTTTATATATCACGTTAAGAATATGTAATTTTTTATTGTTCATAATCTGGTAACAGGAACACTTAACTGTCAGGCTTTGTTCACACAGATTTTAGTTTAAATGAGCAAGCAGTGTTTACAGCAGGCTTTTACAAAGTATTTTCAAAGCTTCCAGCAAGCTTCAGGCAGCTTTGTTAAAGCTTTTAAAGCAACCTTCAGCTCCAGTTTGAAGATTTTTAACACAGCTCTAAATAGATGTGCTGTCTGTCACTGTAAACAAGCTGCTAGCAGGCTTCAGTAAGATTCAGCACTGCTTGAAACTTGATTAAAGTTTGCTTGATTATGAAAGATCTTAAAATTATAGTCATAAATAGAATAAAAAGAAATCGCTGTGGTGTTACCTATGCTATTCATCAAAGAGAAATTATAGTGTATTTTTAGTGAGCAGATGTTTCGCGTGATTCTTACAGTTTATAACCTAAAGTCTTTCTTGATGTGACGTTCCCATTTTAAAAGCCTGACTTACATTGAAAGAAGCGACAGAAAATCTCAATCATTTTTTACAACTACACATAAGCAGTGACTACATATTAAATAAACAAATATGGCTTCCCCCATGTATGTGGGATGCCCTGTAGGGGTGCATTTCTGTGCATGTTGAGGACATTTCACTTCCCCAAGTGGCTTCCTGACTTTACATGTGGTTATAAACGATGGGGTATATTACACTCATTTTAATTGAGGAAGACACCTGGACAAGTGAAATGTTTTCAACATTACTAAACTAGGCCTAATGAATGTGACTAACCACTACTTGTGATTAGAGTACATGTTGATGCCAATTTGAGTCTTACCATTTATCTTCTTTATACCCTGTAGCACCATATGTTATGATTTCAAACCAATTTTCACCTCCAAATGTCTTCAAATACCATTTTCTCTTAGTGCCTTAGTGCCTTCCCAATCTAGAGCTATGTGTTGGCAGAGAGGCGTAATGGCCACACACCTCATAAAAAAAAAAACATCCTTATGTACACCTGTAGTAATTGGGAAGAGTGTGGGTTCCTTGTTTGGTTGCAGGCTGGCTGGCAGGTTGAGGCTGGGGAATTTTTGTGTTTTGTATAAGAGTGTGGGTGTGCCTGACTAGTTCTATTAAATTACAGTATTCACTGGGCTACATTGTCATACAAAACGTTAGGTAAAGGGAGAGGTCTGTGTTAGGGTAGCTTTTAGCTAAAGGTCATGGGTTTCCACAATGTAATTTGCATTTCTTTTCAGCACTGAAAGTACTGTGCAGAGACTGTAGTTACAAAAAATAATGGTGTAATGCCCATTCTTTGTAGTATGCTGCTAAACAACTTGACTATTTATTGAACAAGTATGCTTACCTTTTGTGCTTATATACTAAAAAAAGGATATGCCCTTTTCCCAAAACAAGTTACATTTCTAATATTTAACTTTAAAAAAGGACATTTTCTTTATATATGCCCTAACATTTACTTAGTACCAAAGCTGGTCTCAAACAATATTTTGATTTGTTGTACATTAAAAATCACATAGCAGCAGCTTCAATGACTATGTTTTTTGAGTCTGCTGTGTCAAATTTTAGGAGTCGAATTTTGACCTAGACCACTTCTGTCTTAAATTTATTGTATCTGGTAAATGCACCTGTCAGAGTGACCTATCTATAATAATTCACTGGGATTGAAAATTCGCTGTTTAATATATTCTGTATAGATAGCTTCACAGTCAACACAGGCAGACTTTATGATGATGTTTACACTGTATCAAGTGTAGCAAAATTAAATGCCTTGCATGATAGAATGTTTCCTATCCTGTAATTTGTCTCCGAGTTCCATTACAGTCTCCTGTTTTCTCTTCTAGCTTTACTCACAGCGAAGCCTCCTAAACCATTGTTCCCTGTGGAGAACCAGCCAAGTGTTATAGATGTCCAGCTGGGTAAGTCCCCTTCTGGGAAAAATAGATTCTAAACGTCCACTCCATTAACAGATTGGAAAAATTGCACGTAGGAAGGGAAGGTTTATTGCCACGGTTATTACATGCAAATCAATTTGCTACTACCCATTTATAATGCTTGAGTATATTGTAGCAGTCGTTTAAGTATATGGGTTTGCTTAGTGGCAGAGACTGTTAATTGGTTAAGCTGCATATTAAATACAGTATATGCAATGTTTGCATTTCTGTTTTATGTTGGAAGATTAAAAGGAATTTATTAAATTCCAGCTGTACTAACGTATACTTTGGAATTACTGCTAATGTATTATCTCTTGAACACTGATGGGATTGACTGCTATTAGCAAAAAACAGCATTGTCAATTTGTGCATTTTATTTCTTGTATATCATTATGCGTGGCTACTTGAATTTTAATCAGAAACATTTAACTATGTAACAATAGGCCTGTATTAGATGTGAACAAATATTATTTTTGTGTCTTTGATAGTGTCCTGGTATTAGTGAGACTGGAGGCCAGAGGGTCTTAAATGACCATAGGCCAGTAATTGTGGGAGCAAAAGAAAGATGAATGCCATCGGGGGAGGGGGGGCTAGGAGAAAGATGCCGGAGAATTTAAGTAGTACTCACAACCAGATGGACACGATAAATGATCAGGCACAATCCTGTTTTTGAAGGCGTATGTTATGAGGCTGCCATGTTTACCCTTACTTAGTGAGTCACTGATCTGTAAGAATAATGCACTGTATAAGCTAGAACATCTAATATGAATGATAATATAACATGTATTAAGTAAAACATCACAAAAGAGCCAGCAACTGCAGCCTGATGGTCCCCTTTGATGTGTACTTCTAACAAAAGTAAGCTTCTCCATCAGCAATGGCTAGACATTTGTTCTTGTGATAAGCCATTTTTATTCCTATTTGCAATGGCTAACTGCTCATTAATGTTTTTATATTGTGTTATTCCACATGCCTATTACAAAAGTATGATTCTGGTTATGTACTTTTAATGAAGTTACCATTCACAGCACATGCTCCTCTTCTAAAGTCTCCTGGTTAGGCTGTGCTTCCTCCACACACATGCTGCAATTTTCATTTATATCTATGGAAATGCCTTCTATCTTTCAGCCAAGTCATGAAGGGCTTTTCCATAGGAAAGAAAATTACACCATGCGTGTGAGGAAGTAGAAACGTCTGGTTAGGAAGGAGGCTGGCTGGGCAGAACACAGAAGATCTCAGAGGAGTAGGGACAAGAATAAGACTTTTGGGGAAGGATGCAGCTACTAAAAGTATAATTATCATATAAGTCAATATTATATTTGCTATTGGGCTAACCATCGCTTACTCCCATTGCTGATTTATTTTGTAAGGCTCAAATCCGAAGGCTGTTATCCCTGGCCTTTTTATTACTGCTTAGTGATTAACCCCATGTAAAAATAAGCAACTCACCAAGTAGTAAAAGAAGAGTAAGGATTCAACCCTTGGTGCTCACACATATAAGAACTAGTCATTAGCCTGGGTTCACACCAAGGCGATAGCATTTTTTATGCGCTATTTTTGCATGATTTTTGTGCATTCTCAAGCATTTCCTATAGAGTCTATGAGGCCAAAACAAGCTGTAATATGCCAAAAAAGCTCTTGTACTTTTTCCAGCGAAAGGCGTTTTGCTTATTGCGTCAAAATGCTCAGGTGTGAACAGGGCCATAGAAATGAATGGGATTTGTGGGGGGCATCATTTTTTTTGCCTTTTTTAGGGCAGAAAAAGAGCTACAAAACACACAGTGTGAACCAGGCCTAAATGACGGCTATATTTCAAACCTGCCATATTAAATGTTGTTTCAAGAGAAATAGACTGATCCCATGTTTAATGTAATATTATAACTTGTTTTCATTTAAAGCAACTCTGTTACTATACTTTAAGAAGGAAAGTGCTGTCAGGTATAAAGTGCAGGTACCTAGAGCTTGCCTGCATATACCTGCAGCGCCCTACAAGCCCCTGTTTTGCAAAATTGCAGAGTCATTCTGATTGGCAAAACCCCAACTAGTGCTGCTGCTAGTGTTGATTTTATCCAAACCTTCCCACTCCCATGCATACCTATTGGTCAATCACTGAGATAAGCTGCCTCACTGTCCAACAGGAATGTGCAGGAAGGGACAAGCAAGCTTCAGCACTACCAGGAAATGGTGAGCTTTGCCAATCAGCATTTGGGCTTAACCAAAGGGACTTGATGGTTGCTGCAGGAATTTATAAGGGTTGCTTTGCATTTTAGAATGTATCTATTGCCTAAGATAAACCAGGGAGTTATTCATCCAATAAATGTGTGACCAAGAGCATACCAGCATGTACGGCAATGGACCTCATCTCCTGATCTCCTGATCATTTTGACATGCAGAGGAGGATTTATTAAAACTGGAGCAGACAGAACCTGGAGAAGTTGCTCATGGTGAACAATCAGCTTCTCTGTTCAAATTGTTAAACTTTGAAAATGAAAGAGAAAAGCTTATTGGTTATTGTGGGCAACTGCTCCAGATTCTGTCTGCTCCAGTTTTGATAAATTCCCCTCACAGTCTTTACTGAATAACATCTGCCTATGCATTTTTACCATATACTACATTTTAATTTCCCAGAGTTGGGGGTAGTTTTTTAAATTTATTTTATTATGAAGACCTTGGTCAAACCTTTGTAACCATTTGCAAGGACTTACACATTTTTTTTTTGCAATTATCCTTTTTCAGCTATCATGACTATATCCTTACTGTTGCTGAAAATGTGGTAATAACAGAAGCTGTGGGGGAGGTCTGTCTGTGCAGTGCATTGGGATTCTTTTTAGCAGCAAATGGGTCAGCCGTTCTTTCTTCAAGTGACAGGTTCCAGCTGACATTTTACAGAATTTCCATTTAAGATTGGAAGAATTTGTCATTTCTGGTGTCTAGAGAGCCCAGTCCACAGCTGAAAAAGTCAGCATTGTATTTGTGAGCTGTAGGCTGCTGTGTACAGGGCCTGTCCTAGCAAATTAGCACTTCTACAGGGAGTCCATAACACAATTTTGCCTGTGGCACCAAACAAGACATGTGCTGATCAAGGAGTAGCATTTGTATTCTTGCATCTGTCAGGACCAAGCAATAGGGAGATAACTATTTTAGGTAGAAAACAGGAGAAATAAATGCACTATGAGAAGTAGCTAAATACGAAGTTAACAAAGATATATTGAAGCTGTTTTACCTGCAAAATGATTTGTATTTCTGTCTAGTCACTCCTGATATTTACCCAGTCCTACCACATTTTCCCACTGCATTTAGGGCCTGTTCTCAAGACGTCTGTTTTCTGTGCTGACCTGATCCGTACACTGTGCACTAAAAATGCATCCCAATGTATCCCTATGTGTTTTATGGGCTACAGTTCTCACGTGCGCAGTCCGTTCAGGTTACGACAGAAAAAATACTGCATGTCACATTTTGTCCGGTCAGGAAACGGTCCGGAAACTCAAAACGCGTCTAAAACGCACTGCACTGCAGCTAACATACTGACAGCCGCACTTCAGCAAAAAAAAGAAAACATTTTTTTTAACTGGAATGCATAAAAAACGCGGCAAAACACATAGCACCGCGTCTGCAGATCCGCACCTGATCCGGACCTGAAAATCATGTGAACAGGCCCTTAAGCAGTGCAGCATGGCCACCTCCCTGCCCCAAGCTTCTGAATGAACAACAAAGAAACAGCATCACACTGATAAGCCATCAACTCTGCTTACTATGCTCTCTTACCTTCAAAATGTTTCTTGTTGGCACTTGTATAGCAGAGCCTGATTAGCTCCAAGTGCTTCCCCACCCTCTCATTTTCTAATTTCTACTGTACAGGTTACAGCAGGAGGTTGGGATCAAGTCAAATTCAGGTGCTTAACACTAGTTGCATTAAAACACCTAGATTTTTTTGTAATTAGTACAAAACCTTATTAATTAATATCTTCCTGAAGTTCATCTATGATTTGAAACTGTTTATCAACCGTATTATGTCTACTGTATCAGAATCCATTCAAAATGTTTGACTGGAGTGTTCCCTTTTAAACCACTAGTCTTAAGGCAGTTGAATAATGTTTCCCCATATGCAGCATATGCAAATAAAAAGCTCTATACACATAGCTGTATTTTTGCACTACGTAAAGATGCGCAAAAACAAAATGGAACCCGAGATGCGTCCGAGCTCAGAATTTCTGTGCATTTTACACATGTGCACACATATATGCGTATATGCACGTACGTGCGTACAGTACATTAAAGTTTCTGTGAAAAATTATGCATTCTGGGATTGCATACATTTCACGCATTTACACACAAATACGCGCATAGATATTCACATATATGGGACTATACGCATTTACAAATATGCATACAATTTTGCTCTTGCGTGTGAATGAAGCCTAAAGGCTAACTCCAACTGAAACTTTGGAGAAGGGTGAGAGCCCCTTTTCACAAATGAATGCTTTCCTTGTCCCTACTGTGAAGATTTAACCTTCATTTCTGTCAGGAGGGGAAGACATTGAAAAGCTCTGCATTGTGAACCTAAACAATAACAGACACAGTAGTAAGAAAAAGTAAGCGTTTACACTTCTGCTAATGTTTTTTTTTTAAATAACTGTATGTAATTTTTGTATGGCTGAAGTTATACTTTATCTACTTCATCTATTGCGGCTGATTATTCTTTTTTGGAGTAGAGCAATAATTTCACTTTTTAAGTGTGGGTTTACTGATTTAGTATTACCAGGTAATACATATATTGTTAGCTAACCAGGTTCTCTTTTTAGTGATATTGTCTTCAAAGATGATGAGCATGCTTTTACATAGTTACATAGTATTTGAGGTTGAATAAAGACATAAGTCCATCAAGTCCAACCTATTGTGTGTGTGCGTGTGTATTGGTCCCTGAGTCTTCTCATTCTTAAGAGTACCTGTACCCTTGTACATTATGGTCTCTCAATAAATCGTCA